CGGCAGGGGGGACCCGGCCGGCAGCTCGAGGGGCCCCGGCGGGGTGACAGTGACGGCGTCAGGACCGTCTGCGGGTGAGAGGGGTCAGGGGCGGCGCAGGGGACGGCGCAGGGACAGGGGCAGCACAGGGTCGTGGGGATGGCACTGATGATGGCGCTGGGGATGCGGAGATGGACGTGGGGACGGCGTGGGGGATGGGGGGACAGATCTGAGGAGGGCAGTGGCGACATGGGGACAGACACAGGGACAGTGCGGGGGACGTGGGGACGGACACAGGGATGGCACGGGGACAGCATGGGGACAGGGGCGGCACAGGGTTGTGGGTGTGGGGATGGTGACAATGCTGGGAGACAAAAGGACGGCACGGGGACAGGGGGACGGGCGTGGGGAGAGCGCTGGGGACACGGGGACAGACACAGGACAGTGAGGGGGATGGGAATGGACGTGGGGAGGGCGCTGGGGACATGGGGATGGACATGGGGATGGTGTGGGGGATGTGCGGACAAGCACAGCACGGGGTCACGGAGATGGGGTTGACAATGGTGCTGGGGACACGGGGACAGACAGGGGGACATGGGGACAGAGATGGAGGTGACACTGGGCACACGGGGATGAAGGTTGGGTCAGCACTGGGGATGTGGGGACAGACAGAAAGATGGCACTCGGGACATGGGGACAGACATGGGGATGGCGCAGGGCACGGGGGGATGCATGGGGGACAGGGACACTGGGGGGGACTCACAGACGATGGTGACAGTGGCATTGTCGCTGCGGTTGGTGCTGATGGCGTTGCTGACCTGGCACGCATAGGCGCCAGCGTCGCCCCGCTGCGCGAGCCACACTGTCAGCGTGCGGTTGTCTGGGGACAGGGACAGGCGGCCACTGGCCGACACCGTCGCCCCATTGTGCAGCCAGGCCACTGTCTGGGTGCCAGGGGGGCTGCGGCAGGTCAGGGTGATGGTGTCGTTCTCCACCACCGTCACATTGTCCGGCATCACCGCTGGCTGCGTCAGCGGGACTGTGCGGGGGACAGATGGTGTCAGCGGGGCCTGAGGACACCGGGGGGGGAAACAGGGACGGATGGGTCGGGATCGGGTCAGCGCTGCCCTGCATGGGGATGGGGACAGCGATGGGGGGTCCTGAGCACCCCCGTGTCCAGATGCTCCCCCCTCCCAGCGTCACCTCGTCCCCATCCTGAAACCCCCGGGCGGTGGGGTTGTCCCCGCGTCCCCATCCCAAATCCCCCAGGGGGGGTACGGGTTTGTCTGTATGGAAGCCCCAGGGCTTCTCCCCACCCACCACCCCAGGGGTTCCCCCAGCCGTGACGCCCCAGGGGACACGCGCAGCCCCGGGTTGGGGTGGCCCCCCCAGCTCCTCGTGCCCAGGGCGGCGCAGGAAGGCGGAAGTGTGGCCGGTGGTTAATGATTCACCTGTTGCCACTGGTGGGGGGGACGGGTTGGGGACGGGATGGGGACGCCTCCGGCACCCCAAAACGGCGCAGCAGGCAGGACTGTAGCGCGGCCAAAGGCCACTGGGCGCGTGGCGGTCCCCACCCTCCCCGCGACCTTCGTTCGGGGGTTTCGGCGCTCGCCAGGGAGGGACGGCGACCAAGAAGGACGGACAGACGGTGGGTCACCCTGGAAAGGGCCCGGACAGTTCGGGGGTGCGGTGGGTGGCAGGAACTCACCGTGGATGGTCAGGTTGATGCTGGCAAGGGTGGGGGCGGGGAGCCGCAGGCCCACGGTGTAGGTGCCGGTGTCATTCAGCCACAGGCGGTCAATGTGCATGGAGCAGTCGGTGGCGCCCGTCTCCCGCCCGGTGTACGCCAGCCCGTTCTGCTGCCCCAGCGACGGCTGGATGTAGTAGTTGAAGATCTCGAAGGAGATGTCAGCGGTGGGCGCCCGGTGCCAGGAGCAGGACAGGACCTCGCTGGGCACCGGCGGCTCCAGCGTGAAGGAGACGCTGCCCCCTGCCCAGGCGGCCGGGGGGTCCTGGTGGATGCTGAAGTGGGGGGCCTGGCCCCGCACCGGTGGGGGGCCGGAGAGCAGGAGGGCAGCTGTGTGGGGTGGAGGAGGGCGTCAGCCCCGGGGGGCTGCGGGAGGTGGAGGAGGGTGTCAGACCCCCCAGACAGTCCCCAGGACAGATGGGACCCCGCAGGGGACCCCGCGGAGCCCCTGGGGTGGAGAGGAACCAAGAGAGGCCCCAGGGGAGGTCCTGGGAGAGGGAGGGGACCCCCGACGGACCCCAGGAGGGCCCAAAGGCCGAGGGGCCCCGTCGCGCCCCGTCGCACCCCACCTGCCAGGACGGCAGTGCTCCAGGGGCTCCGCAGGGGGCCCAGCGCTCGGTGGCCCATGGCGGCTCACCCCAATGCCCGGGTGGCCGTGCCCACAGCTGTGCCCGGTGAGAGGAAGGGGTTGGCCCGGCCCTCCCCGGGGGATGGGCTTCCCCACGCCAGCCCCGTGGCGGCACACGCGACGGGACCTGCTAGCGTCACCGCGGCGGGGGGCCCCGGGGGCCCCGGGCCCGCCGGGGGCACCCCCCCGGTGCCCTGACGGCCCCCCGAACCGGGTGCCCCAAAAGGCCACAAGGGAGATGGGGACGGAGGCAGGGATGGTGTGGGGACGTGGGGACGGGGATGGACATGGGGACAGGGACAGCGTGAGGGGCATGGGGACAGCACAGGGGACAAGGAGAGGGAGATGGGGACAGTGTGTGGATGGAAATAGACACGGAGATGGTGTGGGGGACACGGGGATGGGGATGGGGGTGGGATGGGGACAACATGGGGACAGCACAGAGGGGACAGGGACAGCGTGAGGGGAATGAGGACAGCACAGGGGACAAGGGGACATGGGGACAGGGATAGGGTGGGATGGGGACATTGTGGGCATGGGGGTGGATGTGGGGACAGTACAGGGAACATGGGGATGGAGATGGGAACAGCATGAGGAGATGGGGATGGGGATGGGACAGGGACAGCACGGAGAGGGCAGGGGACATGGGGACGGGGACAGCACGGAGGGGATGTGAGGACGGGGGACATGGGGACGGGGACAGCACGCTGGGGATGGGGGACGGGGGACGTGGGGACGGGGATGGGGACAGCACGGAGGAGACGGGGGATGTGGGGACAGCCCTGGGGACGGCACTGGGGACCACGGGACAGGGCTGGCCGTGGGGCCACGGGGCGGGCGGGGGCACTCACCCCACAAGCACGGCGTCACCCCGGCTCCGGTATGAAGGCGACGTCCCAGGGTGCTGCCGGGCGACGGCGGGGTCCCGGCGGGGGCACGGGGGGCCCAGCCCCTTCAGGTGCCCCGTGCGGGGCTGGGGCCCATTTCGGGGGTGCCGGAGGGGTGCGGTGGCG